AGGACTCCTTCTTCAGCCTGACAGCATCCCTCACCGACGGTGTCCACAATCGGGTTTGAGGGTTGCCACAGCGACAGGCACCGACAACCTTACGGCCGCAGCTCCGGTAAACTGCCTCGACAATAGAGGCACGGAACATGGCCCACTTGGACTCATGTCCCCCACCTCCCCCGGAACATGTTCAAAGTTCTCCTGGAGGTGGGAGTTAAAGCTCCGTCTCACAGTAGACTCTGCCAGACGTTCCCAGCAAACCCTCACAATACGTTTGGGTCTGCCAGGTCTGACCGGCATCCTCCCCCACCATCGGAGCCAACTCACCACCAGGTAGTGATCAGTGGACAGCTCCGCCCCTCTCTTCACCCGAGTGGCCAAGACATGTGGCCGCAGATCAGATGAGACGATGACAAAGTCGATCATCGAACTGCAGCCTAGGGTGTCCTGGTGCCAAGAGCACATATGGACACCCTTATGCTTGAACATGGTGTTTGTTATGGACAATCCATGACGAGCACAGAAGTCCAACAACAGAACACCACTCGGGTTCAGATCAGGGGGGTCATTCCTCCCAACCACACCCCTCCAGGTCTCACTGTCATTGCCCACGTGAGCACTGAAGTCCCCCAGCAGAACAAGGGAGTCTCCAGGAGGTGCACTTTCCAGTACCCCCTCCAAGGACTCCAAAAAGGGCGGATAATCTGAAGTGACGTTTGGTGCATAAGCACAAACGACAGTCAGAACCCGTCCTCCCACATGCAGGCAGAGGGAGGCCAGCCTCTCATTCACCGGGGTGAACCCCAACACACAGGCACCAAGATGGGGGGCAATAAGTATGCCCACTCCTGCTCAATGCCTCTCACCAGGGGCAACTCCAGAGTGGAAGAGTGTCCAACCCCTCTCAAGGAAACTGGTTCCAGAGCCAGAGCCATGCGTAGAGTTGAGTCCGACTATTTCTAGCCGGAACCTCTCAACCTCACACACCAGCTCAGGCTCCTTCCCCACCAGTGAGGTGACATTCCACGTCCCAATAGCCAGCTTCTGTAGTCGAGGATCAGACCGGCAGGGTCCCCGCCCTCGGCCACCACCCATCCCACATTGCACTCGACCCCTTTTACCCCTCCCACAGGTGGTGAGTCCATGGGCAGTCAACGCAAATCTTTGCCTCTAATTAATATATGAAAAAAACCTACATTTCCCCCCATCATGTCCGTGTAAATAGGGCCTGAGTTTGTCTTTTTTAATCTGTGTATTATTAACATTAGTTTCATAGCATTAAAAAATCTACACAAGAGGGCTTCTCCACCAAGTAATAGAATCAAGTCATTATCTGCTGCATTTACGATACAAGTTTTAAAATTAGACTCGTTACTTTCATTACACTTAAGATGGGGGGCTACTCTAAAGAAGAATAGCCACCATCAAACTTCAGCAGAGCAGTAACAACCAGACTCTTACCATGTTGTAAAAAGACAGCTTTCTAATGTTTATTGCACTAGAAGCTTTGATGTGGAAAATTTTATTAACCCACTTGTTAATGGTTTTCTTTTTCTTTTTTTTTTCCTACAGGGAATAATTTTTCCAGGTCTGCCCTAGAAACAGATGCCAGAAAGCCAGTGACTTTGTTGCCTGTGTCAAAATGGAAGTGGCTTTTAAAAAGGAAGAGGGAAAACACAACCATAATTACAGGTCCAGTCCCACAGTTGCGTAGTGTGCGGTTTCTCTGTGTGCAAATAGCATGGAGCTCAACTTTGTCTAGTAAAGTGCTGGAGTTTGTTTAACAACAAAGCCCATCCACAAACTAGACATACATTTATATAGAAAACATAAATCAGACCTTTAAAGAAAACAGTGTGTTAGGACAAAATGGACTGTGTCTGTTAGTTTCACTGAATAGTACCTAAACAATTAAAATAATGAAAAAGTAGAACACATTTGCTACACAAAAGGTCTGTGATTACTCCACATCCTCACTCATTTCCCACTCATTCAGCAGAATACTTCCTCATTTCCACAGAGGTTTGTCACTTACATAATCACATCATGAAGCTCAAGCCCACCCCCCTTCTCTTCCTCACTCTCATTCCCTCATATCTTCCCCCTTTGCCTGCGAGCGTGCAGAATAATCTGGCCCCCGGGGAGGATTTGTCTGGAGGATGAGACAAAGACATGTGCGGAGGTGGGGGCAAAGTTTGTGTTGGGAGAGTGAAGGGGGCAACTGATCACAACTTCCCTCTACAGCTCCAATACATTCTTTCTGGCTTGAGCCTCATTCCAACTAGAACAGAGATCATGCGTGCAAATAGCAGCCTGTTTTTGTGAAGGCACAACAGTGCTTGTGTGGAGGCTAATCTTGTTGTTCCCTGAAGGAGCAGCTGTGCATGAGACGGGGATGGTTGACAGGCAGATTTTTCTCTTGGCTAAGTTCACTACAGCTGGAATGAATGAAAGTAAGCAAGTACACAAAAAAGGATAGTAGGCTTCCAAAAACCTCATCTTTATTCTTCCATGTTTGTGCACAAAAACCACATCACCCAATGGCCAAAACAGAAGCAGAAAGGAATGTTCATAAAAATGTAGCCGTATATGGACATAAATGCTGCATATTGGTATAAATTAAGTTTATTTTGCAGATATAAGCTTCATTTTGACATGCATGAGGCATTGTGGTTCCTGGGCAGAAGTGGGAATAATAAATAAAGCCTCAGTGAGTTTAGGTGTTTCATCATTGACCTAACTTCTAAATAATTAAACAAGGTTACATCATAAGTAAAAAAAAAAAAACTGAAACTGCCATTTGTAAATAAAAGTTTTGTGTTGCTAAAACAAAAAAAGGACTAAATTACTAAATTACTTTTTTGTTGAACATGCTTCACAAAAAGTAAGCTAACAATTGTAGCTAAATAAATTTCCTTCAATTGTATCAAATGTGTTTACACGATCCCACAGCAAGAAATAAAAATGATCAAATAGCTTTTCTGTCTTCTAATGCCTGCTATAAAATGAAAATTATTTCAGACAAATGCGAAGAGGTAGAACAAATATAGCCTGAATGATATAAACCAGGAGCACAGCAGTAATGATACTACTGTGGGTCAATCTATAACTAAAGGATACTTAGAGCATTTAAAATTGATTATTTCTATTTTGTCCTCAGTGGAGACAATAGGTAAAGATGAGCCTTGCTAATAGACTGATACTGCAATCCTTGAAGAAATGTACAGTTTTGCAAAAACAACCCTGAGGTTGCTACAAAAAGGGACATGAAGTGCAGAGGTTTTGGTGCAACTCATGAAAACACAAGCTTATCAGCATAGACTGAAAGACCTCTAAGGCCAAAATTACACTATTGAGACTCGATGAAAACACAGAATGCAGCCGTCAGTGTGGACACCAAGTCTTATAAAGGAATTGTGCATGCCTGATACATTGAACTGAAAGACTCCCCATCCTCAGTGACTGCCAGCCAGCAAGCTTGGGTGTTATTTCAGTCTGCACAAAGAAACGTAGGCTAACTGTTTGCTGTCTTCATCTTTGATATGACTTATCTTTTATCTACAGAAAAGCAGATTGACTGCTCTGCTGGAGAAGTTACAAGAGGCATCTGTCCAGCAGAAAAATGGTGTGAGTCATCTCTGACAGACTGCCAAAGCACAAGCGGTTGAATGAAGTGTGTCAGTAAATCAGGAGCTGGTGGGCAGCATTTGAAGTATGGCGTGTTTATTTCTGTATCAAGCCATGACCCAGAGTTTACATGCTGAGGGCTAGGCTAACAACCATTAAACGTGGCCAGTGCACAGCTCTGTGTATAAAAATGCAGACAATAATCCTAACTGACTGACACTTAATAGACGCAACACGCAACAGCCCCACATTGCTACAGAGTCACTCTACCATCTGCTGTTGGCTGTTTTAACTCCTGTGCATTCCACAACTCAAGATAATTCAATCCTGTGAGGCAGCCACTACTCTACACCTGGCACACCGTGAATGTGACAAATACTGCACAATCATTTTGAGCAAGACCTCTATATTTTGTACTCCTGGCATGTTTAAACATATGCAGCAATATCTGCTATAACAATAGTCTGAAGAGAAAACATATTGTTGAGACTTGTTTAGCTTGCATCATGCAATCTGTACTTTACTTCCATAAAGTCTCATCCTAAAAAATGTATCTTTATATAATTGATGCACTGGTGGAGACAAGACTTTAGTCTCCAGAAACAAAATATTATTCATACAATGCTTTGCTCAATTTATGGTTCATTTATGTTTATGGTTCATTTATGGTTCATTTTCAATTTATGGTTCATTCATATGTTGCTGCTGATCTGTTTCAATGTTGATGTGTTCATGCGTGCACATCTGCTCACAGACTCATGTTCATGTTTGTGCTGATGTTCAATGTTTTTATGTTATGAGTGCTTAGTGTATATTTAGTTGATGTTTTTCTTAGTTCATATGTTAGATGTTATTACTGTTTTTCTTATACATTTTATTGTTGGATGTAACTGGGACCCTGTGTACATAATTTCGCTCCACCACATGTACCACATGAGGTGCGAATGACAATAAAGAATCTCTGAAACTCTAAACAAATACTGAATTAACATTTCTTAGGTATTCTTTGACCCTCAGCAGCTCAAAAACAAACCACTGACTGATTAAAATGGAGCACCCCACAAAGCCTAACCAACAGCAGGTCCATTTCCAACTACACCATTATTAAATACTCACCTTTCACCAAATATTCCCCAACTATCACTTTAATTAAAACGCTTAAACATCATACAGTGTGGTAATAGGAAAAATATGGCTATAGGAACTATATAAGAACTGTATCCTCTGTAAACCCTAATGGTAACATAACAAAAGCACAACAGTGCTAAAGTTAAAAATATATATAAACGTACTGTATGTAGAGCCACAGTGCTTGTTAAAATAATGGACATGCATTCACACTTCTCACTAACTGAGGCAAAACATGAGCACAAAGCTCCTACCTTTCATTCCCAGGCTGGAACTCTGAAAGTAAGGACGGACGACGGCGATGGGGTTGAGTCAGGTGAGGGCTGTAGTCCCTGACATGATGGGAGTGGTAGTCAACCAGTCCCACTTCCTGCAACACAAAAAAAAAACCCTGCTCATTTTACCTCATCAGAATCACATAAACTGTTATACAGTAGTTCCTCACTACTTCGCAGTTCATTTTTCGCAGATTCGCTCCATCGCGTTTTTTCAAAATAAGATTGGACATGACACACAATGGCTGAATGATGGATGAGCCGCACGATCGGCATGAAATTTTCTTATTTAAAATAAATTATTTTAAATGATTTAGCACCTGTGTGCAGCCCACAGCTGTGGGAGAAGCTTCCTCCTACAGCTGATGGCGCGCAGAGCGGAGAAGTTGCTGCTGTTGTTGGGCGTATTGTTTTGTGTACTATTAGTGCTTAGTGGATTCTTAGTTTAGCGTATTTCTTAGTTCATATCTTAGATCTTTCTACTGTTTTTCTTTACAATTTATACTTTTTGTTGGATGTAACTGGGACCCTGTGTACACAATTTTCTTCCACCACATGTATCACATGTGGTGAAAGACAAATAAAGAAACTTTGACTATGAGAAGTGGGCGTGGCCGAGAGTGCAGCCGAAGGTGCATAGCTGAAATGACATGCTGTGCTCTTTTAGAGTGTTTAGAGTTTAGAAACATATATATATATATATATATATATATATATATACATATATATATATATACATATATATATATATATATATATATATATATATATACATACATACATACATACATACACACTAAAATAAACAACTACTTACTACTTGTACTACTATTCCTACTTCGCGATTTTTCACTTATAGCGGGGCTTCTGGGTACAGATCCCCCGCAATAAACGAGGGACTACTGTAATTTCTTCTTGGACAAAAAAAATATAGAAACCACATTGTTATTTTCTGTTCCCATTTGTCATTTATTTTTTTGTCATCTTTCTCCAGCTTTCAGCTCCACTTGTGTCTCAGAAAAATGGGAACATGCAACTAATGTAAACTTTCACCTCTGCTCATTTATGACTCCAGGACACAGTTCATCAAACCTTATCTTGTCTTGACTGTGATGACAAGTTGGAGTGGTAGGATTAACAACAGGTGCAGCTGTGGAGCTCCTAGGGATGAGCCCCAGATTCTCAAAGTAAACATAACAAACACTGAGGGTCACTGAAACCACTTTTAGTTCAGCAAATACGTCTCATCTTTAAAGCTCAGGCAGCTTTGTCCCTGGTGTGTAGAAGAACGTAATATTGATAATTGGGAAGTCAGTGGAAATGATGAGGAAAGCCTCAATGTGACTCCACAGCAACAACATGAACTTTAAACTCAAACATGTAATGAGGAACCCATTCCAATGCAGCACGTTATAACCCCGGAATGCTTCTGTTTAATTACCATCCGTTGGAGGGAGGGAACTAGGTTTGAGCGTTTTCTCCAGTCTTAGATGCACATTGTTTTACATACCGTATATCCAACAGAATATACAGAGAAAAAGATGTTTCCTCACTATGATTATTCCATATGCGCTAAGCAAAATGGCCCTTACCGGGTGTGTTCGTTGCAGCTGCAGTGGTATGGTGGCAGGGTTTGGCAGGTGCCGTGTATCCAAAGTTCTCCGACCCGGCGGCACAGACTGGGGATGAGAGGACATGCTGGCACAGCCGCTTCCTCTACAAGCAGGAAGAGGGTGAGGCTGTAAAGCATACACCACACATCATCGGCTGTTCCTTTAAGCCTGCATCCTGTGAGTGGAAGAAAGAAGAAGAACAAAGGTGAAACTTTTATTTATTTTTATTTTTTACTTTACCAAACTCATTGAAATTGCTTTGGACATTTCTCACCAGAAAATGAAAAGATTAAATTGAACACCAAGTTACAAAGCAGTTTGATGATTTCTGGCTAGCACCTCAAGAGTACCTAGAGGTTTAAACGTGTGTAGCGGTCTACTCCGGAAATCAGAAAATCCTTTGCTCCCCACTACAGCTGCTTCCCCTTCCATAGTTTGAAAGATAGAAGTGAGCCTCTGCACCTGCTCATCTCAACCCCCCACTTCACAGCTTACTGAATAGCCCACTGTCCTCAAACTGAGAATTTGCTCGCAGATATCAGCCAAACAAACCAGCACCTAGATAAAATACTTCAGGCTATTACAGGCAACATATTATCAAATAGAACCGTAGACTCGACAGATATGCTACTAGAATTTTACTCCACAAGTACATAATCTAAACTGGATCTATTTACCTCCGGTGCTGTAACAAAGCAACAAGAGGATGTGCAAATGAGCACTTGGAAGAAAATGTGACTGATTTGCTCAGCAAGTTAGTGGGTACCAGTTTGAATCTAACATAAGTCATATTTACCACACACTCCTGAAAAGCGAAAGTGGACGACAGTGTTTTGACCATGTTTATTTGTTTGTTACCAAAACATCTCAAACCACCAGACAACTTTGGATAAAACTTGCAAAAACTGGATGTACATATAAAACATTTTTGTAATAACTCAATTCAAGATGGCTGCCTAAGTCAATTCACCATAAGAACGGTTGCATGTCAGTCAATTTCACAGATATCAACATATTGATTTACAGTGATAAGAAGTGTGGTAGTAGCTGAGACTGATCCCAACACATATCACGAGAACTCGCAGAATATACAAGATTTTTGATAAACTTCTGCCATTTTTTGGAGTCAACTTTGTCTGATAACAAAATAACCCATGAACCACAAAACAAACTGGAATGAAGCTTTTAGGAAATAATCATTGGATGGACATTTACAAATTATTAACTTTTGGTGCCAAACTACAGTGACCGACAGGCGCAAACATGCAGCAAATGGCTAAATGTGCCACAAACAAATGATGGAAACTGCAAAACACACAAACACACACACACAAAAAAAAATTAAAAATGCAAAAGAAAAACACATCAACAAACAAATGCAAAGGAAAAATGCTGATAATACCAAAAACATTAAAACGCCCCAAAACAACTTCAAGGTGGTCCTTCCCTCCAACTCAAGTGTATTTACAGGGGTTCTGGACCCATACGACAGGTGGTCGAGTCCTCCTATTGGTCTGGTGCATTTCCGTTTGAGGAGAGTTTGCAACATTTCTTACTTGCAGTTGTTTTGGGGTACCGTATTTTCTGCCGTACATATCGTTCCGCCATACAAGTCAGATCAGTCCAAATATGTCTAATAAAGTGGAAAAATCCATAAATATGTTGCTTCGCCATATACGTCACATCTATTATGCGTCACCGCTGACAACCCAGAAATGTGGGCCGGTGTGTCAAAAATTGATTGGTTGCCAAATGGTGATCGCGAGAGTGCACGGGAGGACTTTAACAATAATTTAACAAGATTAACACTTAAAAACAATTATTTGTTTCCTCAAAATTATAGTAAAGGTGTGTCTCCAGTGTTTCCCATACCATTATACAAGGGGGGCGCCCCGTCCAATCAACAGAACCGAGCGCCCCGTCTACCGACCCCCCATCAACAACAAGACATTTAACAAGATAAGCACCTTAAATTATTATTTGTTTGCTTGACTTTATAGTAAAGGTGTGTCTCAGTAGAACTTTTACTTAATAAATGCACCATAATGGTCAAATCAGCTTCATTTCGCTGAGGCGGCAAAGCAAAATGAAACTGATTTGACGGTTGTTCCAAGCGAGCTGGACAACAGTGGCAGGGTATGGCAAGCCGATAGTGTCATTAATAGCAACGTTTAACCTATTTATTACATGATACAATGACATGCCATACCACTTGAGTGCCATCTAGCAGCTGAAAATGGCAGTGTTCAATATTTTCAATGTCAGAATGAATGAAAATGGTCATATCTCAGCCAAAATTTGGTTTATAAATATGGGAAAAAACTCAAATACGTTGCTTCGGCCTATCCACCTTATTCCGGATTTGGCGCCACTACCCATAATTCATAGCGGAAGCCGGTTGTTTACTTCCGCCCGCGATCCCGCGCTGTTGTTTACGTTTGTGGGTTAACGCACTTGCTAGCAATTTAATGTTTTTGACACAAAAGTTTCCTTTACCTGAAGTAAATGGCAGCACATCAGAGGTGGATACATTGCAAGGATGTTTTAAAAAGCTGCGAAGATAAGTCGTTAACTGTGTCTCACCCATCATTTCTCACGGACTGGGTAGATGATATGAAATCATGGCCCGGAATTACCTACATCGATATTATTAATTACCTTGTTTTTTCTGAAGGCGTCGATGGCGAGGAATTGCGGAATTATAAAAGCACAGAGGCGTATAATTACCTCCACAGCAACAAAATAGATACAGTTTTGCTCAAGAAACAAGGCGACTTTATCTTTCTGAAAGCAGCTGTTGAGCCGAGCCAGAGCGTTGGTCAAGCTAAACACTTAGCATGGGTCATGCTCAGAGAAAGTGGAGTGGTAGAAACGGTCGGCTGTTCCTGTATCGCCGGATTGGGAAAATCATGCAGTCATGCGGCAGCTATTCTGTGGAAGGTATATCACTTATCTGGATATCAGAATATTTACATCACTGAATCAGAATCACTGAACTGGGCGAAAGCTGTGAGCTTCCTGTCTGCCTGTGTTTACATGTGGAAGCCAGAGCATTGTGCAGCCTGTGATCTACTGTCACAAAAAAGTAAACATTAAAAAGGCTGTACAGTATTTTTATATTATTTGTTTTTAAAAAAGTACAGACTGGATGCAAGGCAACCTAACATTTACAGAAAAGGAAAAAATAAATGACAACAGCAGGGATGTAAATAACTTGTTTCAGTTTATTAGGAGCAGTGATAGCTGAAGTCTGTTAAATTGTTACAGGTCCAGAATGCTGTGATCAGTGGAAAGACGGGGCTAGCATGTACAGATGAGCAGCGCAGGTGGAATGCTGGGACAGCAAAGAATCTTCAACCCAAACGTCTAAGCATGATAAACTTCAGACACCACAAGGCAGAGCAGCAGTATAACATCAACTCAAGGGCTGCAGACACGATTAGTCTTTATTTTCATAAGTGTTATAAGGACTTGATCTTGTACAGGCATTGTAAATTCATTGTTGTCATCTCCTTCCAGTGCTGACACAAGAGTGTTAAATGTTTCTAACGCTATACCAGTGTACAGCAAAGCGTCTGCGTCATTTTGTAGAAGAAAAAATGCAACTTCATCACACTGAGTCGTCTTGTCCTGGACATCTTTTCTGCCAGACGTGTTGCAGTATTGATGATGATCTTTTAGCGAAGGGTCCTCCCACTGTGTGTGGACTGAGTGCAGATGTGGCCCAGGAGGTTGTGTGGAGACGCTAGCCAGGTCTGGGATGACTGACGGTGAATCTACGGTGCACTCTGAATAACACAAAAATACAAAATCAAATCAGCGTAACACAACCTGTCAAGTGTCACTTACCTTATTACGTTTTAGGAAGGAAATTTGTAATTCCACACTCGTACACACATGATACATCTTAAATGTCAATAGTGCTGTTTTAGTGGGGCTTTAGCCCCCTTAAATTTTCCTAAGCCCCATCAAATTATGCTATAATATCAAAATATTGTGATTAGATTTTAGTTTTTCATCCTTAAAAAAATCAGTTGGAGCTAGGTTGCATTTAAGCTTTTTCTTTAAAGAGTTTAAAAGAAGTTTTTTTTTCAGCTGTGTCTGTTTCAAATAACCTGCCTCTAATAACTCAACATATTCTTTATTAACAAAATCCCCAGACTTTTACAGCCCTGGGGGCTGAATTTTACCAGGTTGCTAAATAAAAAGCTATTCTCGGACAGTTACATGAAATCATATACATCTCTGCTAGCATGCTACTGATGTTAATTACTAACCACTTTGTCTTTAAGATTTGGATTTGGCTGCCAATCAAGTACTTTCTCTTAGTGATAAAGTATTTTGGAATTAAATTAATAATACACTAACATCCACAATAACACTGCAACCAGCTAGCGCTGATGCTAACACCATCCACAGTATAGTAATTATAACATTACAATTATAACATTAATAATAATATAATTCAGTAAAAGATAAGAGCTAAGCATGATTAAAATGTGAAGCGGGGACAAATCACATTTTCAATTTCACTCACCGGGAACAGATTCGGCCGTTTTGTCGATGTTGCTGGAAGCTGTCTGGCTCACAGTGGTCCGGATGAGCTGCCTTCTTTTCTTTGGTGGGGCCCGGTCATAGCCCAGATAGAGCTCCGGGTCGGGGTGAAGCTCTGTGGGCTTTTTATCAATAAAATGAAAGGAGCAAACATAAACTCTCTTCGGGGGGTATTTGAGTTTTAAAGCTGCCAGCCACGCTCGTTTTCGATCCTCCTTCCTCGGCATGGAGTGCAGTTCGTAACGCGCTGGGCACACACAGGCCTTTCGAAGTTGTTGATGTGCAAAACAATACGTTTCTAGCTCGTCTTTCAGTTTTCTGGAGCTGTTGTGACAGCCAACAACAGCACAAGTTGAACCCGAACTCATATTAGAATTGTTTAAGCCTCCTGCTACAGCACAAATTACTAGAATTTGTCATTAGCAAAAGTGCCTGTCATTAGCAAAAGTGCCTCTCGCTTTAGCTCACCGGAAGTATAAAACCGGGAGGGGGCGGTACCTGTCTGTCATGGCAGCCCACATACGCTCTTGCAGAATAAGGTGGATAAGTCTCAGGGCATGCAAATTATGTAAAAACCCGTGACTTACAGGGCGAAAAATATGGTAAATT